GGTATACAGTTATAATACCACTTATTACACAGATTTTAATAATTATCTCACATAAATCATTAAAGGGTTAGTTCACCCAAAAATGAAAATTAAGTCATTAATTACTCACCCCCATGCTGTACCAACCCCGTAAGACCTTCGTTCGTCTTCGGAACACAAATGAAGATATTTTTGATTAAATTTGAGAGCTGTATAACTACCACATTGGCTCCTAAGGGACTGCCTCTTGACGGCCCAGAAAGTCAATGAAGAAAATGTTTAAATATCCCAAGTGACTACCGTGGCTCAACTATATGTTTATCAAGCGACGCGAATACTTTTTGTGCGAAAAAACAAACAAAAATAACGAGTTTATTCGACTATTTCTTTTCTTCCTTGTAGGCCAGAACGAGACTTCCTTAGATTTCCACGACGCATGCGCGAGAATTGCGATCTGCTTACACCAGAGCCATGTATTCAGTCTCAATACATGGCTCTGGCTTAAACCAGCTTACACTACTTCAGATCGCAATTCTCGCGCATGCGTCGTGGAAATCTAAGGAAGTCTCGTTTCTGGCCTACAAGGAAGAAAAGAAATAGTCGAAGAAACTCGTTATTTTTGTTTGTTTTTTCGCACAAAAAGTATTCGCGTCGCTTGATAAACATATAGTTGAGCCACGGTAGTCACTTGGGATATTTAAACATTTTCTTCATTGACTTTCTGGGCCGTCAAGAGGCAGTCCTTTAGGAGCCAATGTGGTAGTTATACAGCTCTCAAATTTTATCAAAAATATCTTCATTTGTGTTCAGAAGACGAACGAAGGTCTTACGGGGCTGGTACAGCATGGGGGTGAGTAATTAATCACTTAATTTTCATTTTTGGGTGAACTAACCCTTTAACTAGCCAAACGCAGATCTCCACGAAGAAAAAACGTTCCCAGCAGGCGTATAGCACTGCTGACTTCAGTGACCCGGATGAGCCTGCGTTATCTGCTTTAAGAGGTTGTTCTCTGGGAATAACATACCGCTGGATGGCGCCGTTGACCAATCAGAATCAAGTATTCCACAGAGCTGTGTAATAATACGAGATAACGCCGCACCTTCTCGCCAGGGTCGCAAAATGACATTTCTACGGAGGGGGTCACTATATATCCTACGGCTACGCCACATGCCATTTCTTTGTCATTTTAGTGGTGATATGACTTTAATACATAAAAAACTTTAATAATAATACTTTTTGTGCTTTAATTATTATCCTACTTAAAATTCTAGCTCATTTGAATGAACGTTTGTTTTGTTTTCTAGCAGCCAAGAAGGCTTGTCGAGCTCCAATGGCAGCGCGGGCATCAGCGTTCCCGCTTTAGGCAGCAGCTCTCGAACCCATAGCACTTTCACTCCCTCTCTAGCATTGCACTTTGATGAAAGTCTCATCAAGCATGTTCAAGGCTGGCCTGCAGAACATGTGGAGAAGCAGGTGCCTTCATCTCTTCAACTGTTTACCCATCTTCTACAGATCAAACTTCACTTCTCTAACTAATGAGGTTTCCTTCCTCTCTCTCTCTCTCTCACCCAGGCGTCACGAATGCGTGAGGATATCCACAATATGGGAACCCTCTACATGTCGGAGATCTGCACCGAGCTGAAGAACCTTCGCTCTTTAGTGCGAGTATGTGAAATCCAGGCCACGTTGAGAGAGCAGAGGTCTGTAACTCTGATTTAGTTCAATTTATCGACAGTGCGTAACGAAATGGGATTCGGTGAATAACTTTTTTTCTTTGCTTGTGTACAGGATTCTGTTTCTGAGACAGCAGATCAAAGAACTTGACAAACTGAAGAATCAGAATTCCTTCATGGTTTGAGCGGGTGGCTATATGGAGCTCATGGCGGTCTCTCTCCGAACAAGCCCAGCCCCCTCCCCCCGTCCCCCCAAGCCGTTTGGACCCCCGCTCTCAGATCCACAGTCGAACTGAAACGGGGCCGAGTGATAGGAAGCTTTCAAAAGTACTTGGGCAACACGAAGCCCTGATATCATAGATTAATGTCACTGTCGTTTTACATCACACGGCTTCTCTATTCTCAGATCCACGGGCAATTCGAGAAGTGTTCAGAGAACACGCTCTCCAACCCAGACTGACCTGTGAGGAATCGTGCAGTGGATCTGGCGATGCACGCACTGGTTTTTCAAGGTCATGCCTGTGTTAATGGATCCTAAATTTCACTGTCACACTGGAGACTTAACCCCCCTCCCCCCACCCGTCCTCCAGTGACTGACAGTGATCACGAAAGATGTTAGAAGGGCTATCTGTGCACAAGGACGCTTCCAGCTGCGCTGGCATTTATCAAAGTGACCAATTCAAATCAACCCGATATCATTCTGAGTGCCCATTCTCAAAAGTTAGGAGTGACTGGCTGATTCTCTGCCCCTCAGAAGATTAAAATAAGACCTGAATGATCTTCCTTAATTCACAGCAGAACAGCGAATGGGTGCTAAAGATTTCTCAACTGGTGATGTGGCACTTAAAAGCGGTAGACGCACATTTTCTGAGTTTCTGACCCTGATGAAGGGTTTCTTTTTTTTGTCACTATCTGCCTTCGATGTTTCTTGTTCTTTGCAGTGCTGTTACACATCTAACTGAGATTTCTATTCATGCTGCACCCCAGCACTGTTTGACTCTTTTTGTATTAATGTTATTTTAATTTGTTTGTATTTGCTCAGTTTTTTTTTTTACTCCTATAAATGAGTTTAGTCATTCCCATATCGCCCGGTTTTGTGGGATGCGATGAAAAGGACTCGTATTTTAGACATGAGCTATGGTTGCACTTCGAAAATGAATCTTTTAAGGATGAAAGAGGACCAATGGGACCGTCTCGAGCCGACCAGCCGGGGAAGAGTATGGCGAATTTTTCTCATCTTTCACGTAAAAATATCAACCAGTCTTTAAAAAAAGAAAATCTGTAAGCATTTAGTCAACTTGTCGATTTGTATTTGACAAGGATGTGAAAATATGGCAAAACTGGTGATTCCTTTTTGATGTTTGCAATGTCATTCATAGTTTTTGCTTTATTGTTCTTTCTGTCTTTACTGCCCTCTAATGCAGGGTTTGAACTTAGACCAATATTAATGCAATAGGCTGTAAATGGACTTTCAGAATAGACATGATGGGTATGTTGCTTTGTATATGGTTTCTAAAAGCTATGGGAAATAAACAATTACTACATTGTGTTTTGGTACATGTTTGCTTTTGTGCATTGGCTGCTTTTGATAAAGTTAGATGCAATCGTGCCCTAGCCCAGGTAGAGCTAAAAGAACTCGCCTTTCAAGCATACTGGAGGTTTTGTACATGTTCGTCCTCCTGTGGAGCAGTTTCACTTCCAATTGTTAGACAATTTCAATCACATTAGTTAAGAAAACTTCACACAGTAATAGCAGTTTAAAGGTAAATTTTGCTGCTTAAAAAAACTAAAAACTACGAGTTGAGGGTAGGTTAACACTTCCTATGAAGCCTGGATTTATTATACATTATATTGGTATTTCTAGTGGATTGTAAAACATGCACAATGCCTTTTAACAACTTCATAATGTGATCTATCATCTGATAATCAAAACATAATATGGGGTTATAACTTTTAAGAATATAATGCATTTTGACGCTGGATGAAGCCTGCATTTATAATGTATCATAAGGGTATTCTTAATGCCTTATAACCTTATTATGTGGTGTCATCTCGTGAATGACCGTAACTACTGTAACCTGTTACCTACTTATTAGATTTGGTAAAGCCTTGTAATTTTACAGTTTTTGTGATAAAACTTGATTTGTATTGTGAATGCATTGTTCTTTTGTATTTTTCCAAATAACTTAAGGGAAATGTCTTGCATCCACTTCATGATATCTTATGGCTGATTAAAAGAAGACATAACTTTTGTTGCTTTACTTAAAGCAGACAAAGACAACGTATAAATTTTATGAATAGGCCTAGATTATAAAGTGCTTTAGATGTTTAAAAGAAGACTTCAAGCAGTAAAAGACCATTCATAGATGTAGAATGATCTTAAAGGGATGCTCCACTTTTTTTTTGGAAATAGGCTCATTTTACCACTCCCCCAGAGTTAAACAGTTGGGTTTTACCAGTTTTGAATCCATTCAGCCGATTATCTGATATTTAGAAGAATATCAGTAACCAGAGAGTTTCTGGTCTCATTAAGTTAATGAGACCCGAAACTGGTTACTTGCATAGTTTTCATACATTATCTATCTATACACACACAAAACTGGGCTTGATTCTGTTTTTTTGAAGGCTTTTTTTTTTCTGAAAAAATGTTTACACTTTGTGTTACACAAATGACCCCACATTGAAATGAATGGGAAATGTGAAAAAACTAAATATATTTTCTTCATGTGTAAAAATAAAAAAATAAAAATAAAAAATATAAAAATCCGGCAAAAATCTGAAAATTTTTACACATAAATGAAGGCCTAATACTAGATGTAGCTTATCATAAAAAAAATTTATATTTTATATGCAAGCTAATGGTGTAGTTGAGGAATTGTGTGGTATATGGATACAAAAGTACTTCATATCTCCAAAAACACAGCATTAATGAATAGATGAGAAGTAAAAAAAAATTTAAAAAATAATATATATATATATATATATATATATATATATATATTTTTTTTTATGATTAAAAATGTATATATTTTTGTACAATTACTCAATTAATTGTCGGGGTCGTATAGACCCAGAAGCCCCGAAGTGTAAACAGGAAACGAAGACCATTTGAAGGTTAAACCTGTGCGTATTCAGTCAATTTAAGGGTAAAAAAATAGGAAAGGAGAACATGTTTTAGTATTGGCTATTGGTATTTTTACACACAGGGTAAAAAAAAAACACGTCAAGTCAAGTCATGCTTTTCCTGTAGAAGATGAGGGTTAAGCTGTATTACCCTTGCATGGGCACACGGGGAGGCAACAGTCCCAAACTCCCGCGTGTGAATGAAACAGCCCAGCGGCTCGATGACTCTAATAGGAGGAGCTGCTCCCTCATTCCCGAGTCTTCACATTTAAGGGCACTCAAGCGGAGTATAAACACAAGAGATTATCCCTGCGAATAGTCTGACAATTTAGCATCCGCATTGAAATACAAATGGATTATATGGGTTTTTATTTTTAAAAACCAAACAACGGCGCGTCAGCTTTTCTGCGCACAGATGATTGGATCTGGAAGTCCTGAAGAGAGCACCGAGGACAGAACCACGATGTGATCGTTTCTATTTAAAAAATGTTACGAAATGCTTTGAACGAAGCGAGTTGGAACACATTTTGGACACCAATACTGTATTGTCTGGCTATAACGTCCGTATCTATGCGAATCTGAGAGGAAAAGTTTGTATCCAATGCAGCGGAACAGCAGTCTGGTTTCCATTTGGCTTCAGCTCGAGCTGTGCGCGATGGCTGTTCTCCTCACTAAAGGTGAGTGATCAGATAGCTCAGGCAGAATAGTCCACACATTGATAAATTCACATTTCCTTTTTAAATAGAACGAATTGCATTAGAAATAAATCTAATAAAGCTAAAAGTGATTAAAGGCTACAATAAGTAGCATATCTATCCGTATGTTATTACATAGTTATTACATTGTAACATGAGCACAAATGTATGGTTACACTTTATTTGAAGGTGTCATTGTTTGAGTGTAATTAGCCTATATAAGTACTGAGTAATATTAATGAACTACTACAGGGTTAGGGTAAGATTAGGATTTGCTTTGCTAATATTAGGGGTTATTATGCATTATTTACTGTTATTACTATGGTAAGTACATGCCAAGTCAAGTCATCTTCATTTATATAGCGCTTTTAACAATGTAGATTATTTCAGAGCAGCTTTACAGAGATAAACATATAATTTATGGTAACAGAGATTGAATAACATGTAACAAGGACTGTAAAATAAAGTGTTACTGTGAAGTGTGACCAAAAGTTTTCTGAACACCCAATTGTTATCATCGTTTTTAATTCGATTTTGTTTTTGTTTTGCATTGCTTTGATGAGCAATATATTGGTGGATATTAATACTAAATATTGTATTGTTCTGTCAGAGAAATTATCCAGAGCAATAGGCCTATCTTTACAAGAACCAAAAGTCTGAAAGCCAAATACCAAACATGGACTTGTACATCAATGGGAACTATCTTTGAACAGTTGTGAAAATTAGGGTAACATTTTATTTTACAGTGTTCTTGTTATATGTTACATGTACTTACCATAGTAATAACAGTAAATTATGCAGAATTATGCAACTAACCCTCAACCAAATCCTAATCCTACCCTAACCCTATTGCAAGTACATGATATTACTATTGTAACAATGACACCTTAAAATAAAGTGTAACCAAAATGAGTTCTTGTTTTCAGTTATGGGTCATTTCTCGTTTGTTGTAACAGGAGAAATACGGTGTTACTGTGATGCTCCCCACTGTGTGGCCACCGGTTACATGTGCAAATCGGAGCTGAATGCCTGCTTTACCCGCACCTTAGACCCTCCGAGCACCAAGTCTCTCTTATCTCATGGGTGTTACGACCCTCTGCTGAACTCTGGGAAAACATGCCATCCAGAGTCGACCTATGATGCCGTTCATGGATCTTCCACTCTTCAGTGTTGCCACGAGGATATGTGCAACTACAGAGGCCTGCAAGATCTCACATACAGAGGAAGTGCAATTCATGGTAACTAAAGGAAGTCTTCTTTATTATTGCTAGTGATTTTTTTATTATTAGCCATTTTTTATTTTATTTCAGTCATTTACTTTGCCTATTTGGCCAATTATTAGTGTCTATTGAATTGATCTGCCAATTTAGCTACATCTGTGAATTATCTCCAAATGACCATGTCAATGGATAATGCAGTTTCTGTTTTTAGATGTTGTAGGGAATTTTGAGATGTATATGCAACGTTTTTCCTAATAAAAATGTTTGTGGTATTATTATTGTTATTGCAGCTCAGTTGCTATTTTTGCCACTCTGCACTCTAATAATATAACTTTGTTCAGCCTTCACCTAAACTGAAGCTGAAATATCAAATTTACCCAAGGAAAAACATCTCGTCACACTTCACACCTCAAGTACATTTCATTTAAAGAGATAGTTCACCCTAAAATGGAAATTTTGTCATCATTTAATTACTCTCATGTTGTTAAAAACCTGTATGACTTTATTTTTCGGTCCAATGTTGGTTTGGACCCCATTGACTTTCATTATTTCTGAAAAGCTGTCTTGTCCATACATTCTCTTCAAGTTTCACACGTTTTTTGGTAACATTTTACAATAAGGCTCACTCGTTAACATTATGTATTAACTAACATGAACTAACAATGAGCAAAACCCTTGTTACAGTATTTATTCATCCTTTTTTAATGTTAGTTAATAGAAATACATCTGGTCATTGTTTGTTCATGTTAGTTCACAGTGCATTAACTAATGTCAACAAATACTACCTTTGAATTTATTAATCTATTAGTAAATGTCAAAATTAAACAACTAAGATTAATAAATGCTGTATAAATATTGTTCATTCTTATATAGTTACTCTAAGGTATTTAACTAATGTTAACTTGTGACGCTTATTGTAAAGTGTTACCGTTTTTTACACGTTTTTTTTACCGCCTTAAACATTCTCTGTTCTTATTCAGACAAACATCGACATCAAGCTGAAGGCAGCCGTCACGTGATCGCACGTCTGCAGGAAATCCCTTCCTCCAAGGAGGTTTGGTTTCGAGCCGCAGTCATCACCGTACCCATCGCCGGTGGCCTCATCCTGGTCCTCCTCATCATGCTGGCCCTGCGGATGCTTCGCAGCGAAAACCGCAGACTGCGACAGCAGCGACGAGAAATGCTCTCTCGCCTTCACTACAGCTTTCACGGCCAACACCTCACCAAGGGTCATGTGGCCAAACTGGACTTAGAGTGTATGGTTCCAGTAGGAGGCCATGAGAACTGCTGCTTGACCTGCGACAAGATTCGACAGTCCGATCGTAGCAGCCAGCGACTTCTATCATTGGTCAACTGGGGAAAATACAGCGGCCGAGGCAAACTGGAGTTTGTGTGATGACTTTAGCTTCTTTTTCCTGGGGCTTGTTTGACTAAAACTTATTTCGACCCTGCAGACGAGAAGACTTGAAAGCGCTAACCATATGGTTGTCGCTCTAGAAGCACTTTACTTGAATTAGAGACTTGAGGAGAAGACTGCTTGTATTATAGGCTGCGACGAGGAGTGGCTTCGTGCTGGTATTCTTTATGACCGAAGGATTCCAAGAAATATATTTTGGTTTTAACGTTTGCACTTTTTTGTATAAAGAAACGACGGTTGATTTGCTTTACTAGTGGTGTAAGACCAGCGTGTCAACTTTTTTTAGAATAAACTAAAATTTGCCAAAATTGAAGGGGTACAACAGCTTGTTAAAGATCTTGGTATGTTATTTACCCTTAAAATGTTCATAATAGTTGAGGGTACATACTCTTAAGCTACTAATATGGAGTTCTCAGGGGTAGATAAGGTATAAAATCCCCAGTGATAAGCTGTTGTACCCCAAAAATTAAAATTTTTGCATTTTTTTTTCTAACAGTGAAGAATGTCTGCTGGTGCGCGAATGTGTGACTTTTCACTGTTAACGTTATTGTTCACCCAAAAAATTAAGTTCTGTCATGATTTACTCAAGCTTTTATGATTTCAGCTGTTTCAGTCTGTACAGTGGAAGTGAATGGGGTCCAAAACGTTCAAGCTCCAAAAAGGAAGCATAAAAATAATCCATACAACTCTGGTAGTTTCATTCACATCTTCTGAAGCAATATGATCACTTTATAGGATGGACAAGCACAATTTAAGTGGTAATTATTCACAGATCCAATCGAATATGCCGACACATTAGTACCATCTTTGGTCATTATGTTAAGGAGATTGAAAGTTTTGGACATTATGGACTTGACATTAGAACTAAAAAACTTTCAAAATCTTTTGTCTTCCACAGAGGAAAGAAAATCATACAAGTGTGGCATGATTACTTTTGTGTGAACTAGTCACCTCTGATCTGCATGTAGATTTTGTTCACTGTAAATATGAGTCACTGTAAATATTATATGTTCAACAAGTAATCATTGTGGTGTTTTTCATCTTTACTGTCTCTTGTTCAGTGATTTTGGGTGGAACCGTGAATCTGAACAGCACTGAAAGTACTCAGTGTTGTGTACGCTATTGACAAGCTCATTACACCCGGAGGGAAAAGTCTTGGCTAATGCTTCAGTTTGTCAACACATGCACAGTTGCAAGCGCTCGACGGAGGCATTGGAATCATTAACCGCAGAATAAGGGCATGGCAGTGTAGTTTGGTAGCTATTACAATCATGTCTTGTTTTACAGTAGCGCTACACTGACTGACTCAGTCCCCAGGCCACAATCACTCAGCCTCAAACTCTTTCACAGTCGGCTTCTTTTTTACTTTTTTACTTTACCCATTTTTACTGTCGTTTTAGACTTTAGCCCACTCCCGAGAACAGTCTCTTTCATACGCTTCCCCAAACATCTGTCCCCATTGACTTTCCAAGTCATCGTGGCACTGCACATTCGGCTTCTGGCTCAATGCACGAGAAGTTAACAGTTATTGTTGGCCTTGGAGAAGAATGCAAGCGTTATTGCAGTGGATTGGATAAAAGGCATGTTCCTCTGACAGTAATAACAGGGAACTTCTTCTGTGGCCCACACATATTTTAAAACATAAACTCAAATATTCGTTGATGTGCATTTTTGCAGAGGTTTACATTTGAACAAAAACCTTTATTTTGCCTTCTTGGGCTTTTGGTGGTGCTATTTTATTATTTGCAATTGTATTATTGCAGAGGAGCTGTGCGTTTACATACGTTTATGGCATAATCTGATTGAAAAGTCTTCTTAAACACCCCAGTCGATCCAATTGAGCTTGATCCTAATTGAATTTCCATTGGATTAAAAAGAGCTGGTGTAGATGTGAAATGATATGTCAACCGAAAAAATAAAAAGAGGATAAACATGCTTATGACTAGTTTCAATAAGGTTCAAAAATGCGTTTTTTTTCTACATCTAACAAACTTTTTTTCAGATGTCACATCTTCATTAGTATTGCACCTCTTTACGACCTGTTTACAAAAGCCGACAACATGTCATACTTACAGTACATTGTCATGCAACGAAGTGCTGTTAAAGCCTGTTCAAACATGTCAGATAATATAAACACTTAAAGTGTTTTAAGTGAGGCTGGCATATGTCTGCAGACAAATAAAAGGAAAGAAATAAAAAAAAAATCAAGTTTTAATTCTTGATCTCTTTAAAAACTCAATATATATATATATATATATATATATACGGATGAGAACTTCTGGATGGCCAAAAGTAAATGTAATTTAGCTTCTCCTTGTATATTGTGAAAGTGAGAAAGTTTAGGTTGTAAAATCTAAAAATATTGTAAATAATAATACAAATAAATAATATAATTAAATATAATTTGAAAACTGAAACAATTTCATCCAAGATGAAGCAGAAAAGTGGAGAAAATGGTATGTAAACTATAAATCTATGTTCATTTCACTCTAAAAAATGCTGGTTGTTTCAACCCAAATTTGGTTCAAATATGGACAAACCCAAATGTTGGGTTAAAAATGCAATAAAAAATATGTACAGTTGAAACTGAAAGTTACTAAACTCGTATTATTAAATGACATTTTTAACCCAACATTTGGGCTTGTCCATATTTTACTCAAATTTTGTTGGTTTAGAGTGAAAAAAAAAATTAAATAATAATCTATAATCATAAATGGATGACTTCACCCAAAATTTGAGTGTGCTATGTATTATTTTGTGTTTAATAGTGTATTGTGTTTAATGGCAAACTAGACTGGAATGAGTGTTGGAGTCAACATCAGTCACTTATGAGGTTCCATTTCAGTTTGGATGCTTTCTTGAAAGGGAGATGACTTTGTAGACTGTAGACAACAAGGCAGCTCAGTTTAAAGAGATCAAGTTCTGAGTATCAAGTGACAGATTTCATAACAGGTCTGTTTTTCTATCATCTCAAAATTTAGAGCTGTACAAATGTGTTTTTGAAAGATTTTTCTTAGCAAAACCTTTGCCAGGTGTTTCAGAGAGAGCTGGACCAGCTTCTAAACCTGGCGTATGTTTGGTGACCTTTTTTCTCCAACCTTCACTCATGCCAATTCTGCCAACAGACAGGAAGTACTTAGTCACTTGATGTTTACTTCAGAAATTTCAGACACCCAAGGGGTCTCACGCTTGTAACTTTTTGATGTTCATCTTTTGATTTTTGACTGTAGTAGTCAAGAAAGTAAAAGGAAAAATGTTGTTTTCAGTTCAGTCTCTCTTGATCCTCAAATCAAAGGACATTCAGCAAATATTACATCACTGAGCAGAGGGGAAACTCATATAAAGTTTGTAGCTACTGTGATTTTTCACAGTAAGACTGTTTTATTATTTTATTTCGGTGGTTCAAATATAAAAGAGATTTTACAGAATAAGCAAGCAACTGTTATTACATTTATGAGTCCAACTGAAGCATATTTGTTACTTTTGTATTGTTTTGTAGGTGTGTGCAGTCAAAATATTGGTTGGAGGTTCTGTATTCCATGAAGAAATAATATTCTTATATACACAGTATACATTAATAATATACTTCTAATATATAAGAAGGCTAAGACAGAAGTCAATGTAACAATAGAAAGATAAGAATTACGCTGGCAAAGCAGGGACTGTATGCACAAATTATGATTCGTAACAAAATTTGGGGGGTGATGTTTAACCAGTGTTTTTGGAGTTCGATTTGATCATTTCTTTTGTAACTACATGGTGGGGTTATCAGTTATCAGAAAGCAGGTAGATTAAATTTGAGATTCACATATGATTCCTGTTTGAGCAATGGCAGCTTTATAGTATCTGAAGTGGCCAATTAATGAAAAGTAATGACAACAAAGAGATATAGGTGGACTGGGAGTCATAAGTTTTAGATTTGTAGCTGTGTAACTCTAGTCATATCTTATATGATTTCAACACAAGCTTTTTATTGTGTTTAGCTAATAAACAACCGGAGACATTGGAGCCACACTGAAAACCAAATTGCATTCAGACTAGTTATTTTCTGCCCCGTCTTTACGTGAGGGGGTGATTTTCACAACTGTAATTTTCAGAACGATGATTAGAGTTTTGAGTGCTAGTTTGAAAATGAAAGATCTCACAAAGCCACGACACACAGCACCACAGAAACGACCATGTTCTTGTTTATCAAAGCCTTATGCTAACTGCTGAAAAACATTATTCATAAAGGAGGTTTCGAACCAACAGACGAGGGAAGAAAGAAATTGACTCTATGATGGCTTTGTCAGAGAAGCCTCTTATTTGAACAATATTGTCTGTAAAACAGTCCCGCCTTTCCCCCCACATCACTTCTCTTACTGGCTTCCATTTTCTTTGTGGCCTCGTTAAATACTGGCTATTTGGTGTAAGGTTTTGAGCTGAGGAAAGAGCATTCATTGTGTAGTAGTGGCACAGCTGAACATTTTTTACTTAAAAACATACAGATACTTGAATACACCACTTTTATGATGAGTTTGTAATTTCTGGATGAAATTTCATGTGGGTGCTTCCTTTTTCTTTCAACTGCCTTGATATCAAAAAAGGATTTTTTTTTTTTTTTAATGGGTTAGTTGACACATTTAGCTAAAACCAACTTCTGTTCCCGGAGATCTTCCTGCAAAGTTCAGCTCCAACCCTGATCCAGCACAACTGAAGCAGCTCATTAAGGCCCTATTTACACGAAAACACTCGCAGGTGAAAACATAAAAATATTTTATCGGATGTGCCTTTCGTTTACACGGCAACTGCGTTTTTGGGGCTTAAAAACGCAAAAAAGTGAAACCACCCTCCAGAGTGGAAATCTTAAAAACGCTCCACCGCCGTGTTCCTGTGTAAAGGGTAAAAACGCAAAAGTCTGCTTGACAGTGAAGGTTGTACGCAGGCGCACGGACTTGGTGTTGTTGTAGTATGCACTCCTAGCCGCCTGAAGTACATACTACATTGAATTTCACACACTTTAGCGTCACCATATGCACGCGGATTTCCCACCCAAAACGCTCGTCTAAACGCAGAATAAAAAGTGATGACGCAACACCATTTTTGCATTTTCTCTTCAGAATTGTTTCCGTGTAAACCTAGCCTAAGTTCAGGAGCACATGATAATTACAGACAGGTGTGTTGGATTTCCAGGAACAGGATTGGCACCCCTGGTCTAAACTGTTACAGTGTGGTTGCAGGGTGCAACAGAGATGAAACATAAAAAGAGCAGGATCTATCACAGTAGTTGTTTTAATTACAAAATAATTACTTAAATCTTGAACTTTCTCAAATCATGGACAGAACAACCACTAATATAGACAATAACGGACAAAGGGAAACTGAGAGTAACAAATACACAGGGAAACACTAGGGCTGTCTCTGAAATAGCCCCCTATACCCTCAAGGAATTGATTTGAGGGAACAGCCATTCATAATAAATATAAACCATAATGAATATTATCGAATGCACTCATTCATTCCCACAATGTGGGATTGAATGATTCGTGGACTAACATGGAGAATAGTGAATGAGGGTTTAGGGGGCGATTTCAGATTCAGCCCAGGACTAAACAAGAAAATTAACAAGACACATTGGTGAGACACATTAGGGCAATTCAAAACCATGACAAAGTATGGGCTTGAACAAAGAAAAAAAAAGAAATTAATTGAGAACGGTGCAAAACTAACTCAAAGTCCAACTGACGCAAAATACAATTAGACCAGAAGTGCAACATGGCATCATGACTTTTGCGTAAACATACATGCCACTTTCAAGCCAAGTGGAGTGTTATCTACACGCATTTTGAGCTATCTGCGTGTATGTGTATGTCTACGCCGTTAAATGTCCGAGTGATTCCGCGTGTATGTACACACCCTTAAAGGTGGCATATGTAATAATTGAGGTAACAATATACGAAAAATGAGCTACACGCATCAAAAGAATGAGAAGAAATAAGTGCAAAGATGTCATTAAAAAACTGACAAGTTATAGTGCTGCCGAGATATTAACCTGAATTAGCATG